GAGAAGCTTGCGATGCCAAAACAGAAACACACACGTCCCGTGGGCTTCGGTCGTGCTCATGGTTTCCTTGTGAATCTCGACAAACTTTTGGTACATGCCCTTGTCCATGGCGAGCTCGATCGCGGAAATGTACGTATCCTTCTCGGCGGCGGTGAGGGCTTCCCATGACTTGCGGATGCGCTTGCACGACGGGGCGACCGTGGGCGCCGGGGTAGGTGCTGCTGTAGGGGCTTTGGTCGGTGCAGAAGTTGGGGCCTTGGTCGGTGCAGAAGTCGGGGCCATCGTCGTCGGCGCTACGGTTGTGGGGGCAGGGGTCGTCTTGACGACGACACCAGACACTCCACCCGGAAGCGGTGACATGGTGCCTTGCGAAGACTTCAAGTAGCAAACGCCGCTGTCCCAGTTGTACGCGGTACATCGAGGGGTGGCCAGGCAGTCGGCGCAGCAGTCGCCGGGATTGGCGCGGTCCGTCGTCTTGATGTCGTTGCCTGGAAAATCAACGTCAGGGATGGCCGAGCACTGGTTGTCCGCTTGGGTCATGGCAACGGCGGCCGCTGCGAAGACCATGATACGAAGCATGCCTCGTGTAGATACCATTGCTGGTCGTGAGGAATTGAAAAGTGACCGCCCCCGCCGTCGTCGCGGCAAAGCGTCAACCTCTGCATGCTAGACATAGAACTGACCTCCTTACGACAGCATAAGAACGAACCCAAACATGTGCAATGTTAGAGTTTGCTCGTCCACGTGATGGCAAACGCACGCAGATGGACGGGAATTTCAACCATCCGTCACGTCAACTGCTCGTCGCGGAGGGCTGCCACGCTGGTGGTTGAGCAGGGACGCCTCTACATGTACGGCGGCGCCTCTACGTGGGCGCGCGTGCCTTGTCTTTGGCACATTGATAGCCTTGACGTGTTTTTGTCATGCTGGAATGGCGCTGTAGAGGGTGTAGCGTCCACCTGAGGGCACAACCTTCCATCGCATCCGGCACAGCAGGTCCAGCCAAGGCCCGACAACTGCTCGAGCCGCTACAGAATACCACCTCTGCAACGCCAAAGTTGTGTACCCAGACCAAGCTCCAAGTGAGTCACTCGGACGCGGAATGCATCGAGTCCTTAAGCTCAAATCAAAGCCCATGCGAATTCTTCCACAGGTATCATGCGA